TTCATTTTCTGTTAATTTGATTTACATTTTAATAAAAATCACCATTAGCTTTTATTTTAGGCCTATTTTAGGCCTAATTTGTAAGGGGCAGGCCCTCCCTCCCCTGGAAAAACTGTGCATAAAGTGCACTGAAATTGTATGAATATCCTGCTGTGGAAAGACTCAAATGCCAAATCATTTGAATTAGAACAGCAGAATTTTTAAAGTATTATTGCAAAAGTTCCCCATTAAAATTGTGTAGCCTTGCTTTATCCCACTGTGTTCATCAGATGTTTTGTCTCTCACTGATTACTTCCACCAATGAATAAAATGGGCCTTAACTCTTTTTAATGAAGGCCAATATATCCATCTGCCATCATTTCCATACTATTTTAGATCTCTCTAATAGGAAAGTAATTATTAGTTACATGTAAATATACAGTATATTAATTAATGTTCCTCTCTCTTTTTCTACCTGTAGTTCAGTAACATCAATAAAACAAGAAAATATATTTGGTTATATCTATAGGAGCTGTTCTTTGTTTTTAAAGCTTAAATCAATAACTACAAGGGATGCCAATCTGACATCTGAATGATTCCAGTAAATCTAAGATACACTGTACTATAGCCATACACCCCCCAACCCACACACACACACCCCCACACACACACTATACATTCTTCTTTTATGACTATTCAACATTAACTCCTTGCAGTGACCTTGATTGTAGGCTGTATTCTAGAGATCTAAGTGCCCATCTGTGAAAGAATATGTGAAGGTACTAGAGTCATGTCAACTGCAACATTGACAATTTGAGTAGCTCTTCCCCAAATCCACTTCATATAATAATAATAATAATAATAGTAGTAAAGTTGGAAGGGACCTTGAAGGTCATCTAGTCCAACCCCCTGCTATCCAGAAGAGAACTGTGGAGAAGGAACATTGTATAAATTTTGACACTGGCATCCGTTTTATAAGGTTTGGTACATGGAATACCAGGCAACACCATGTGATTTGTTTAGTCTTTTTGACACTCTTCAGGTGAAGGTAGCTAAATGTTATTCTGGAATTAAAACTTTCTATGGGAATGGGACTCACAGACTTTTGCACTTTAGATGGCTATACATGGCGTTAGCTTTAATGTCAGAAGTAAATAATGTTGTAAGATTCCTCAAATTAGAGTCCTTCAGATGTGAATTTCTATCTTCCCTTGTCATGGATCATCTAAAGCAGAGTTCCCCAAACTTTTGGGGTTGGCAACCTGGAGCGGGGGAAAAGGGAAAAAGAAGGGATGAGTTTGTGTGGGGGTGAACGCATGCATGCACGTGTATGAGCACCCACTGCTTGCATAAATGGGCCCGCAAACGCCCATGATGCTTGGGCAAGTGGGGCTGCAAATGCCCGTGATGCTTGTGGGTTTGCTTGCATGAGTAGGCCTGTGCGCATGCGCACACACATGCACACTGGCCAGCCACTCATGTGGCCCAGTGGCCTATAGGCCACAGGCCAGTAGTGGGCCATGGCCCACAGGTTGGGGACTCCTGGTCTAAAGGTAACCCAAACTAATAACATGCCCTAATCAAGGACATTCAAATGTTATTCTTCAAAGGAAAGCTTTGAATGTGAATTCAAAGACGGTTGTACTGATTTGCTCTCAACTGTGTGCATACATTTACAAAAGTAGTTCTGCCAGGTTGTCTAATACGGTACCTCTTTTCAAACAAAGTAGTCAGATATTCCTGGAGAAATTAAAGCTATGTTTTGAAGACCCTTTCCCACTTGGTCCGATTGTAAGATTTGGTCAAAAATGAATTTGCTCCTTAAAAATAAAATATTTATATTTATTTAATTCAAATAAAGACTTTACTTTTAAAAAGAAAATTGACAAACCAGGAAAAAAAATCTTTCTGAATTTGGCATTGTAGACTTCTTTGGCATTGTAGACTTCTTACATTAACCATTTCAAGCAAGGAACAATGTCAAAATTAAGATCCTTGATTCATCAGTTCTATCTAAGTAAAATATGTTGGGTATAGAGATTGAATGATATAGTTTAGCCACCCAGATGACTACAAGTGTTTATTGGGATAATTATTTCCTACATTCATAATATTTTATCTCACTAATGGGAGCTATTCTGGGAGCAGATCAAAACTGACTTCAAAGAATTCTTAACCTATGTTAAGATTTAAATCAGAATAAAAAGGAAGGAAAGGGAAATCCATTCCTTGGGCAAAGGAGGTTAACAGCACACTAAACAATTACTATTAGCAAGTTAATCATGATTGTCATCATTAGCAACTTCATCAACATAATTCTTGCTAGGTAGGAATTATAAAGCCCCAGATTAAGGAAAGTTGTAGTAAATAGAATGAAGAATTGCATGAGGAGAAACAGAAGAAAAAAATCAAAAGCTGAAATGACTTGGAAATATTCTGATCATAATATCTTGGAGAGTGGGAAGTTATAACAGGGAAAGAAATGTAGGTGTGGATATTAGATGGTAGGGCTTGATATTGGTGATTTGACACAGCAGTTGCCACAAAGAAAAGGGAGTCAACCTATTTCCCAAGGCACCTGAAGGCAAGACAAAAAGCAATGGATAGAAACTAATCAAGGAGAGAACCAACCTAGAACTAAGGAGAAATTTCCTAACTACTTAGAACAATTAATCAGTGGAACAATTTGCCTTCAGAAGTTGTGGGTGCTCCATCTCTGGAGGTTTTTAAGAAGATATTGGACAACCATTTGTCTGAAATGTTGTAGGGTCTCCTGCTTGAGGAGACATGAGCAGGGGATTGGACTAGAAGACCTCCAAGGTCCCTTCCAATTCTGTTTTTCTGTTCTGTGAAGATGTGTGGACTTCAGCTCCCAGAATTCCCCAGCCAACATGGGCAGTTTAAGTCCACACACCTTAAAGTTGCTGACATGTCAAACTCACGATGTAATGTGACGTCGCGTGATATATCGGAACTTTTTCCCCATTGCCGGCAATGGGATGGGCAGGGTTTTGTCCAGCCTGCGGGCCGGCAGTTTGACACCCCTGCTCTATAACATTCTGGAGTCTTCTCCGGTCATAGCAACTGAGTTTGTGTTGGGGAACTATTATTTATATAAAAGGTAAAGAGGATGCAGGTTATTCACGCCTAATTAACATCTTTCACTATTTCATCTCTTAGCATTTGAATATTCCCTTATGAGGCAAGTGAGTGGAAGAATTTTCTATTGTAATGTACTACAGGTTGATTTTGAGATAGATTTTTTTCATTAGTGTTCTTTCACTCAGACAATGAAAAATTAGCTTCGTATTATTAATGCTCACTGAACTATTCTGCTTATGCTCTTGAAGAGATATACTTTTCTATTTTTTTGCTTAGAACAAGCTGGGAAAGTATTTTTCTCTGAGTGTTAAATAGAAATGTATGCTGCTTTTATGTGTTATCAAAATCCATACTTTGGGGCAGTGCTTTTTTTGTAAAAAAAAAAAAAGGTGCCAGAACTCACACATGTCATACAACCCGTCTTGCCTACCCTACAAGGTTCCATCCAAAAAAGGTGCCGGAACTCCATTCTGGGTGTTCTATGACAAAAAAAGCCCTGCTTGGGGGTATAAATACTGAGTTCTAAGAAAAAAATAATTGAGTAGATTTGGACCTAGTCAGGCTGAGAGATGATCCAGTGAAATCAATGTGACATATCAGTTCATGATTTCAATGAATCTCTGTAAGCATGGCTAAATATAGATCCAACCTTATATTATTCTCTGTATCTTGACAGTCTTACAAGAGAATATATGCAGTTTAGGATAGAACTGTGGTGTCCTTGGTGCTTTATGAGCTTGGTTGTTTGCTTGCAAACATTTTATTACCAAACTAGGTAACATCATCAGTGCAAGTGAATGTGGGGTTTGTTCTCTGTTTATATACAGAGCTTATTCTGTCAGTGTTAATGGGTGGTGGTGGTTTTCCCCTTGGTAGGATATTAGGATATTGTTTTCTATTTGATTATTTGTTTGGTGATAATTCCTGCTTATCTGGATACTGGTTGCTGGAGAGGTGTCTGGTATTTGTATTTCTTTCATAGCTTTTTTATTATCTCTTTTGAATGCTGTGTAAATATGGTTTATCTCTATGTGATTCTTGGTGGCTGACTCATAATAAGTAATAATAATTCAGTTTAATAACTAAACTAAATATATTTAAATACAAATATAATTCAAAAGGGTAAATATGCAGTAAAAGGGAAAAAGAGGCTCCCGTCTAATGCTAATGCCATTCTATAGTGTCACTCTAATTCCACTATCCAATGCTTTCTAATCCTTTTTAGAAATAATCAATGGCAGACTATCCACCAGGTGCAAGAAGACAAAGTTAGATTAACAATGTAATGTTCCTTTAAAAAAAATGAAAAAAATATTCAAAGTGTTCTGAATTTTCAGAAAATATACACACAGTAGACAGTGGAACTAACACAACTTGTTAAGTTGAGATTAGTCTTTAATGTTGATGGCCTATCCCTTCCATTTGAGTAGAACCAAGCTGATGCCCTCAATTAATTCAACATTAATTAATGAAGTACACTGGCAGATGCTACACCTTGATATGATAGTACACAGTTCTCATCCATTAGCAAAATTCCTAACAGCAATGGGAATTTATTGCAAATAGGACAGTAAATGGCTGCCAGTTATGAATTAAGCTTAGCAATGATCATACGTATGGCCAAAAGCACATACTTGCTGACAGAATATATATTAATGGCTTTCTGAATTATGATAACTTAAATAATCAATCCTGACTGGATTTCAAGAAATACAGTTGCATCAATGTCAGGAAATTATTACAACTTATAAAAATGTCTCCTTTTTGCCTATTCTGTCCAATCCCTCGACACTTTCAAAAGAAAATGATAATGTTCAGCATGTGCTTGCAAAATCTGTGGTTACAAGATTACAACCTAATCTAACATAACTGGAAAAAAAAGTTCAACTGTGGCGCATGTTGGACATATTATATTACTATCAGGTTGTATCAGCTTCACCTTCATCCAAGCTGTAGTTGAGTTTTATGACTGTGCTGACAAAGTCTCCAAGTTCTACAAAGTCTGCGGTGACAATGTTGATACCACTTTCCCCTGGTGTCTGAGCCTGGACCCAGTGCATCATGGCGGGGAGAGCTCTGGAAAGAAAACAAGTAATCATTATTATCAAGCAAAGCAAAGTCCTGGATTCTATAACAAACAAACAAAAACATTAGCTGCTAACCATTTCCATCACTTCCATTCTCATCTTTTAATTCTGATAAATCATGAATTGGGTATGTCTAGTCTAATGAAAAGAAGGACTAGGGGTGACATGATAGCAGTGTTCCAATATCTCAGGAGTTGCCACAAAGAAGAGGGAGTCAAACTATTCTCCAAGGCGCCTGAAGGCAGGACAAGAAACAATGGATGGAAACTAATCAAGGAGAGAAACGACCTAGAACAGGGGTGTCAAGCTCGCAACGTCACATGGTGTGTCACGACGTATCATGACTTTTTTTGCCATTGCTCGCAATGGGGTGGGTGTGGTTTCACTATAATGCATCCTGACCACGGTCCAGCAGTTTGACACTCCTGACCTAGAACTAAGGAGAAATTTCCTAACAGTGAGAACAACTAACCAGTAGAATGGCTTGCCTTCAAAAGTTGTGCGTGAAATGAGACTGGACAGACACTTGTCTGGAATGTTGTAGGGTCTTTTGTTTGAGCAGGGAGTTGGACTATAAGACCTTCAAAGTCCTTTCCAACTCTATTATTCTGTTATGAAGCTAACACCAACTTTCATTAATATTCAAATAAAATGAAATTAATTTTCAGCACAAATACAGCTACTTTCAAACATGTCTATAGTGGACAAAACTGAACACAAAACACATTCAGAAAAATATATTAAGAACCCAGAATTTTTATAGGCTTGCATTTAAGTATAACTGCAATTTGATGTTGACCTAAGTTAAGATTAGAAATATGAGGAAATGAATTTTGTTTAATCTTAAAGGCAAAGAAAAGAAGAATGAGTGAACTATGTCTTGGCTTGTTGTCCACTAGTCATGAATTAAGTGAATCATCTTTTGGGCTGGATTACTTAGCAAGCTGCAGGAAATCTAAAACAGAGCCAAAAGGTTGCACCTTTGGTTGTGCTGGAGGATGATGGAGACAAAACCACACTGGAGTTCCCAAGTATACTTTTCAGAGAACTCTGGAGCATGGCACAAATATGCAAATCATCCTTCTCACACTCAACAAGCCTTTTGTATACTTTATATACAAAATTCTTATAATTGGCCCAAAATAAAATAATAATGATAATAGTAATTGATATACAGTAGTAGATCAGATATACAGTAGTAGAAAGGTTAAAGCAGAAAATTCATCTTTCACTGCATAAAAATGAATTACTAATACCTTTTTCATTTAACACTGCCCTCAAGAGAAAGTTCACAGAAAAGAATTGTTGTTAGTTGCGAAGTCATGTCCGACCCATTGCGACCCCATGGACAATGTTCCTCCAGGCCTTCCTGTCCTCTACCATCTTCTGGAGTCCATTTAAGCTCATGCCTACTGCTTCAGTGACTCCATCCACCCACGTCATTCTCTGTCGTCCCCTTCTTCTATTGCCCTCAATCTTTCCCAGCATTAGGCTCTTCTCCAGTGAGTTCCTTCCTTCTCATTAGGTGGCCAAAGTACTTGAGTTCCAACTTCAGGATCTGGCCTTCTAAAGAGCAGTCAGGATTGATCTCCTCTAGGACTGACTGCTTTGATCGGTTGCAGTCCAGGGGACTCGCAGGAGTCTTCTCCAACACCATAGTTCAAAGTCCTCAATTCTTTTGCACTCAGCCTTTCTTATGGTCCAACTTTCACAGCCATACATTGCAACTGGAAAAACCATGGCCTTGACTATACATACTTTTGTTGGCATGGTGATGTCTCTGCTTTTTAGTATGCTGTCTAGATTTGCCATAGCTTTTCTCCCCAGGAGCAAATGTCTTTTAATTTCTTGGCTGCAGTCCCATCTGTGGTGATCTTGGAGCCTAGGAAGATAAAATCTGTCACTATTTCTTCTCCATCTATTTGCCAGGAATTGAGAGGGCTGGATGTCATGATCTTGGTTTTCTTAATGTTGAGTTTCATGCCAACTTTTGCACTCTCCTTCTTCACCCACATCAAGAGGCTCTTTAGTTCCTCTTCACTTTCTGCCATTAGAGTGGTATCATCTGCATATCTTAGGCTGTTGATATTTCTTCCGGCAATCTTAATTCCAACTTTTGATTCATCTAGCCCTGCCTTTCTCATAATGTGCTCTGCATATAAGTTAAATAGGCAGGGCAACAGAATACAGCCTTGCCGGACTCCTTTCCCAATTTTGAACCAATCAGTGGTTCCGTGTCTAGTTCTCATTGTAAAAAAAAATCAGGCTAAAAGCAAGAGTCCATAAATTCTGGTCTCGCCTTAGCCATGAAAGCCAGTTGAGTGTCCTTGGGCCAATCACTCTCAGTCCAACCTACCTCAGTCCAACCCCACCTCACAGGATTGTTGTTGTGGGGAAAATAGCAGAAGGAAGGTATGTTGGATATGTTCCCAGACTTGAGTTACAGTATTTGTAAAAACAATAAAGGTGGGATACAAACAATAAATAAATATCTTTCTTGTATAGCAGATCATAAGGAAATACTCCCTGTAATGATCTCAGTGATGGAAGAAGCCAGATTTGGTATTTTCCCCCAGGGGGAAGGTGCCTTTTCAGTGGCAAAAGAACAGTTGTTTATCCTTCCTTATAATTTCCAGTCTCTGCATGCCTCAATCCTTGTAATGGCCCTTATTAAGTATTTCAGTCAGGAAAACAGAGACCACACTGTGTAGCAGCTACCCACATGGTTGAATGCTCTCGGAAACTTAGAACAGCTATATTCTAAACCCTAAAATTCACAAATATCTTCTGGTTTCCAGATATAAATTAAATAAAGGAGGTGTGAGATATTGTTGATATGCTTGGCTAATCATGTTTTTCTGAACAAAGAGACCAATTCATAAAGGTTAGATATATAGATACTTAGATACTACTTACTTACAGGTAGTCCTCTACTTACAATAGGTTGTTTAGTGACCCTTCAAAGTTACAATGGCACTGAAAAAAATGACTTATGACAGTTTTTCACATTTACAACCATTGCAGCATCTCCATGGTCACATGATCAAAATTTCAGATACTTTGCAACTGACCCACATTTATGACCATTGGAGTGTCCCAGAGTCATGTGATCCCCTTTTGTGACTTTCTGACAAGCAAGGCCAATGAGGAAGCCAGATTCACTTAACAATCGTGTTACTAATTTAACAACTGCAGTGATTCACTTTAACAACTGTGGCAAGGAAGATCATAAAATGGGGGAAAATTTACTTAATAACAGTTTCACTTAGCAACAGAAATGTTGGGCTCAGTTGTGGTTGTAAATTGAGGACTACCTGTATTACCCCAAAAATAGAAAGAGTTGTGATAAAGAAGTGGGGATAAAAATCCAAGAGGTTGGACTTGAGTTTGAGTCGCTCTTCATAGTCTGATTGGATCAGAGAGAGGGAAGAGGAAGTATAAACATTTGAAAACAGTTGAGAGCTGAAAGGTTTTCTATATCAGATATGGTCCAAGTCCTAACTCCTAATTCCTAATCAGCTTTTCTGTACTCAATCCTATAGTGGACTTCCAGTTTTAGTTATAATTAAAACATTTGTTCCCTCTCAAGAAATTAAACTGCACCATCTGATTGAATGTGCTTCCAAATTTTATCCAGCAATTGTAAACTGTTGAATTATAGATAAGCCCTTCTGGACAATAAATCCCCTAGTTGCAGGGTGCTAATCTGGGGAAAGTGGATTTGCCAACACTGTCCATCCATTTGTTTATTTCCAATTATGTATGTTGTTCCTAAACAACGGTTTTCATGCTGCCAATGCAAAAACAGGATTTTGTGACTAGGGAGCTGTAGAAAAGTGAAAAGAGCAGAGCCATTCTAGCTGCTCTAGTATAAAGACAGCTTCTGAAGTTTCTTGCTTCATTAAACAGTTTCCATTCCAGTTGGTCCTGGTGAGAAGTCCATCCCGTCTCGTCCCATCCAGTCCCATCCCATCCCATTTACAGCCAAAAGGTCCCAAAGCCTGGAGTAAATTATTCAGCTTGAAGAACTAGTGCCTAAAACAGCCTTTCCCTTCCCTTCCCTTCCCTTCCCTTCCCTCTTCATTCATTTTCTTTATGTCTGATACCTTTAAATTGGAAGTTAGCAGGCAGTTAGCTGTATGAAAGCTATTTTGGAACACCTCTAGACTGAGAAGTAGAATAAGGTCCATTCCCTCAATACAACCTCATGGACATTAGCCTTTCTGATCATAGAACTGATTCATCGCAGCTTTCTTCTGGGACATCTTTTTGACTTCCCAGTTGAGTATATAGCCCTAGATTTTCTTGACTTGGTGGTCTCCCATCCTAAAAATGTCTAACCTTGTTTCAATTTTTCAGATTTGTTGGGTCATTTAAGTGTCGCTATGTAGTTAAACAAAAGACTGAGATAAAAAGTGCCTTTTGGGAAGTATTTATTGGAGTTATATCATGCCTTTTCTTCCCAAGCTTGACAGCTTATATGGGCAGGTCAGTTTGGTTTGTTTTATCCCCATAATAATAGCACAGGGACTAGACTGGGCCAGGCATTCTTCTTTGACCAAAGTCACCACATAACTTTCCAAGCTCATCTGGCAGGACCTAGAAAGTGTGTGTTTTCTGTTGTAGTATCTGCCCTCTGGAGCACCAGGCCCCTGAGAGCTGCCTGACCCTGAACTGCCCTCTTCAATACCAGCCCCTGGGATCCAGCTAGCCCTGATTTTGCTTTCTCAAAAAGCCTTAAAAACACACTTGTTTTCCTGGGACGAGGAGGTTAATGGGGCCCCTGAGATGGAGATTATGTGTAATAATTGTTGTCCTTGACTGTGTATGTGTGAGTGTGTGTGTGTGTTCTAAGTTTTAATTTTCTGTTAGCCACCCAGAGTTGCTGTTGTGAGATGAACAGCTATATAAATCACCGTTTCTGAACTTCAGCAACTGAAAAACCTGTCAACTTCAACTCTTAGAATTTCACAGAACAAAATAACAGAG